TGGGAGGTTGTGTCCATTTGGACCAAGCATAACCAGAATTTAACTACTAGTATATCTATATACAAATATCTGTATCTAAAGGAAGTCTACCTAATTCTGCTCTACAGGCGACATTGCTTACTATTTCTAAATACACCAAGAACATTTTTACAGAATTGGTTGTGTACATTTTCGATAGGTGAGGTCTCATATGTAGTTTAATATAATATTTCTTGTGGACATCAGATATTGATGTTCAAATTGATAGGTTGTTAACGTTAGGTAAGCATAACCAAATCCTTCGACTAGATCAATTTTGTTATAGGACAATTATTCCCCGGGTAATCATTCTCAATGGCAGATTATTTCCTGTACATTTAATAGTCCTTTATAACAGACTTACGTTTCACCTAAAATTAAAATCACACAAATCTATCACAGTTCCAACAACAGAGGAAGATTTTTACTTTTTACGATCGACACAGGTGTCCTATAGGGCTCTTTTTATTCATAAATACATTGGATGTTGTATTACCTTCTAAGGATTGCCAGGCCGTAAGAAGCACGCGGAAGGTCCCCATTTGGACAACCACACAGAACTGAAAACTAGTCCTTGTAGTGGTGAAACAGACCGCCGTACGCGTGTTTCCCTGTTGGGGTCGGAAAACACCTCTAAACTGACCCGCTGAGACTGGTTACCAGGCTTGTAAACTCTGAACTCAGGCCGCGAATCTGTACCTCCCTGTGATGACTGCCTCAAACCAAGCCAAAGTGATCTCTCTTTCCAGCCCCACAATCAGTCTGCTTTCCTCACATACCTACAATCATACCCACATGCCTTTCCCACATGCCTTTCAAGTGTATGTCCTACATTCTGGACCACTTTCCTTCGAAGTGAAATTCCAGGAAACCCTTGCGACATTGTGGAAATTGAACAGATTCACAACTGAGCAGACACATGCTGATTCACATTCCTGTTCATGCCCCGGCCCCGGAGGCTAATTGCCAGTTACAAACATAAAAGAAGAGCAGTATATAAAATAACTAAAATCTACAAATGAAAGGTATTTGTCTAAGATTATAGCTACATGTATGTCTAAAACTATGTCTGAAGGGTTTGACTTCTCTCTTGTAAACTGAAGAAGACATGTGTATATCTGTAAGTCAGAGTCCTTCTCAGCATTTCCCCAACATGTTCAGGGTCACAATGTTGATTCGGAATGCTAATGCCACAAAGAGGAGTATCCATTGTGATCTAACACGTTGCAATAAAGTTAGTCTACGGGTATTTGTTGGAAGGCTTTGCTGTAAGAGGAGAGCATCCATTTGAAGGGAGTGTGAGGTTGTGCCCATTTGGACCAAGCATCTACCTAATTCTGCTCTACAGGCGACATTGCTACTATTTCTAAATAGATATAATAAGAATTCTAGGAATTGTATACTATTAGGCATTTTTGTCCACAGGCATGCGGAATGTCCACAGGCATGCGGAATGTCCACAGGCATTTCTCTGACCTACATCTATGCCCACATACCTGGAACCCTGAAGACCTGTCTGCCCCAGATGGTCCTACTTTCTGTGACCCCGGGGCTCGTTCACTATGCGCTCAGGGGAGGAGTGTACTGTATCTGTCTAGACCAAAGTCCAAGTACCAAGTCTTCCTCAAAATCATGAAATGATGGCAGTGCCATGCAAACAATAACCCTAACAGCAACCACCGTCGCCATGGCAATGTATGTTTTCATTGCCAGTCTTGTTGATTTTGTTATACCCCAATTAAAAACGGACTCTCCACCGGCCGGCGGCGCAGCACCGAGGAATTACCGGGGAGCTCCGCTGGTATGGTCACCGGACTAGACAGGGGAAGCGCGCCGCGGCAGCCGGCTTGGTCAGCGTGGATTTTTACTTGGAACAAAATAGGTAAGTTCTTAAAACTTCGTTGGTTTCTAAAATCTGTCTGTTATAGTTTTACACTGTTTGCGGGCGCTAAAGCCTGGCTACCGTAGAGGTACAGAGGAACCTACGAAGGACGGGTTGAAGCTATTAAAAACTTCCTAATGTTGTAATGTGCCATAATCGTATCAGTCTAAATTTTGCAATCACAGCCGTGTTTTTGCAGTGTCACATGTCTGTTAGTTGTTGTACTAGTACACAGTCGCCATTTTTTTGTGTACGAGACTAGTATGTACTTTGTGTTCTGTATATGTATGTTTAGTAAACTTTCCCCTATTTCTGTTCGAAATTCTTGGTATCTTTCAAGCAGACTTTTTCGAGATTTCTACAACTTTTTCTATGTTATTCTGGTTTTATTGGATCTCCCTATGTTGTCGTCATGCCCCCGGGTATTTCCTTATTGTGGTTCTAAATGGGTCATCACTATTTGTGACGCTATTTACTAGTATCACGTACAGTTTCCGACAAAGATTCAGACCTATAAATGCGGAGGAACAGTTCTACTAACCTTAGAGAAACTGAGCCTCAGAGTAGAGAACTAGAATAAGTTTTTCGCCTTCGATGAGGCGTGTTACAAGGATGAGGGCGCTTGGTCTGAGAATCGGCTTTACCCTTTCTTGACTATCAGCTTTTGATTAATTTGTTCCTAGTACATGTATCACTCGCAGTGGTTTTGGGAATTTTTTGTGAGTTCGCTTTTACGATAAGAATTACAAATTATTGTTTACGGATTCGATGGCCGGGCAGAGTATCCATCATTGTCATCGTGACTTGAACGTTTTATTTGTGTGATCGATGTTAGAAATTTAAGTTCTTGGTTGTGTCTTCAAAGTTCCGGTGTCAGAATTTGGGTGTTGTTATATCATGACTGATCGATACATCATTGTTGATCACTGACTCGGAGTTATAGAAAGTTTAAAGTTGCTTGTTGGCTGTTTACCGCACGCGTGCAGAGAAGTTGGAATTTTAGTTTATTACGCATTAAAAATGTGCGCCACATGACGTCAACTTCCACCGGGATCACGTTTTTCGGCCTTACTTGATATTCTCGGACTCCCCTTTCCGACAAAACCTTAGTGTTCAAATTAGTGGCTTAGGGACATTTTGAAGGCCCCAGCCATATACTCTGCTGATTTGCCAGATTTTTCCAGCTGGCCTTTCTAATTATTATCGTCCTGTAACTGAGCCCGTAAAATACCCCTGCATGAAATACCTCTGGGCGGGCGGGCAGTGCTGATTTTTCTCATCTTGTTCTTTGTGTGGTTTATTCCGTCCATTTAGCTTACAGAATTTTAGCACTATTTCATTACAGATCCAACTGGTGGTCTTTATCAGGTATCGACGATCAGTATTTTAGTGATTTTTTTTAATAGCTGCTCGTTTTTAGCTGCTGGTTTATGTAAAGTTTGAGCCACCTGACGCCAAGTTCCGCAAGGGTTTTCCGGCCTTACCCTTAATTCTCTCCGTCAAGGCTCTTCTGTCCAGTAATCCCGGGCGTTTGGTTTTTCTTGTCTTTCCAGTAAACCCCAGACATACAGTGAGGGATACCCTACTGTTCTACACTTAACACCGGTGCCGGCATATAGGGTTATGCCCGCACTTGCCAACGACTCGGGGTTCCGAACAGTGGAGACCATCTGAGTGCACGAAGGCAGTTTCAGTACGTCATATACTCATCTCTAGGTCAACGCCATTATATTGGTTTTAACAACTTAATACTATTCACACAATTGCAACTTGATATTATTTCCGCGTATACTGTACATACATGTAGTTTACCTGCTGACATCCCAACATAATAAGGTCCAAGTTTCACATACGTGGTCACGCTGAACGCTGACGAACTATGCTGAATAATGCAACCCTAGAATGCAACAAACTTAGCTAACGTGTTCTACATTGTTTCTTTCAGCTCTACATGAAGACAAACACAACAGTTACTCAAGAATACAATCAAAAAGTGGAAGAAAATAACCAGGTGAGTGCCTAACCATCCTTATTTTATGCAATAGTGTTCATAATCACGATGGTTAAGCAATCACGGTTCGCATCTGTAAATAGTACTTCTTTCATTAAAAGCTGTGTGAGTTTTGAAATACGGTACCATGTTTACTATGATGTCATTGCTGGGAAAACAATGTAGCCTGGGTGCCAGGCCCCTGTGACACGATACTCCATTCAGTCGGGGAAACCACACGCCCGGAACCCAGAATAGATACTCTAGATAAATTAAAGAAGGAAGCCAGCTCCGAAACTGGGGCGTGTTGGGCAATATAGAGGCCCGATCGAGAGGCTCAGAAAAAATCACTTTCTTTCTCCTAAGCGAGGAGGTAAGCTCCTTGCCGAAGTGCTAGGGTCTGGCACACATGGTATTCATAATGTAATTATATATATTACCTGGCAGCAGAAAATCTAATACGACATGTATACTTCATGATGTCACAAATTTCATTGCCAGAAAAGGGTGTATTTATGTGTCCGCTTCATTGCATTCTTTTGATTAATCGACTCACATGCTTTGCATATTTACATTTATGTGTAAACTTGACCCCAAATCTTGTTAATTTAAGTTAATCATAGCTGGCCAAAGTTGGCATAGATTCATTACCTTCGCCAAGAAGGTTATGTTTTCAGGGGCGTTCGTGTATGTGTGTGTGTGTGTGTGTGTGTGTGTGTCTGTCAACACGATAACTTGAGAAGGCCTTGATGGATTGTCTTGATACTTGGTAGGTGGGTAGGTCTTGATGAGACCTCAAAATGATTAAATTTTGGACCCCCTAGCGGCTTGTTATGGTACTGCAGCTGAACTTCCGGTTTTGATATCTCATGATCTAGACATGCTTTGGGGATGAAATTTAGATGGTAGGTAGCTCTTGTGCTGGGGAAGAAGTGATGTGAGTTGAGGCCCCCTAGCTGCTTGCTCTGGAACTGCAGCGATATATTCTTGAAAATATTCAAAAGGGGATAACTCAAGAACCGGTTGACGGATCGTCGTGATTTTTGGTATGTAGGTAGCTTACGTGATCCTTCATATAATTATGTGACAATTATGCAAATATGGATATAATTTGCATAATTTATGGGGAAATTCTATAAATCAGCTGCATTCCATGATAGGACAATTAAAGCTTGTGACATTGGTAATTGACAACGAGAGAAACCCAGGAAGATATTGATTATGTTAATAATGACCTAATTTGCATAATTAATGAGAAAATGTTATAATTATGTAATGATAACTGCCTGGAATTTCATACTTGTGGTATTTGAAAGTTAAATTGAGGTGAATATCATTAAACATAATTTATTCAAATCAGAACCTCATTTGCATAATTTATTAGGAAATGCTAGAATGCATTGTTTGTTAATTTTTTGGTTGAGATTATGATAAAATGATATAATTCATGAAAATCAGGTTCCTATTTCTTTAATCAGGGGGGAATAATCTAATCTATAATTTGTCAGTCATAAAGATTAACATCATTTGGCGAAGGTATGAGATCGGGGAACTCTAGTTTATGCTCTTTTCTCTCTTTATACCCGCAGGTTAACGTCACCATGCCCACCCTGAGATGCAGACTACAGCAGGAATTTACTGGCCAGCACGAAACCTAGTCGTGGAAGGATTGGGGTGTGCATTCATGTGTTTCACGCAAGAAAGTTGAAAAACAAGCACTGAATGCAACAGCATCGTGAAAGCAAAGAAAAATAAAAAAAGAAAAAAGCAAGACTGACACAAACATACAAAATAGAAAACACACAAGTGAATAAATTCCTTACAAAAAACATCACTATCACATGTATCACACAGTTAAGTTATAAAAAAAAACGACAAGCATCATATAGTTGAAACTAAAAACATATTTGAAGCATTATAAGATTGAATATGCGCTGCACCTTGTTCTTTCTTATTAGCAACAAAATTTGTTCTTTCTTGATAGAAGAAAACATATTTGAAATATCAATAAAGACAATCATTAATATTCTGTGTGCAAAAAGCCACAGTTTGTCCGAAAAGGCGCCTTTTGCATGCATGGTAACATAGCCATAGGCCTTTTCTGCTTGGTCTGATGACCACAAGGCCAGAGGCTACCTCAAAACCAATTCCCTAGGGAATGCATTCGTGCAATTTTTGAAATTCTTTCAAAGCGATCGTAGTACTTACACAAATGCCTCCGCCCCTGAGGCGTCGCCAAAAAAGCCCGGTCTAGGTAGGGTTAACTAGAGCTTTCGACCAGTCACGCTGGTCTTCCTCAGTAAACATGTAAACGCCATCGCACAACAATTGTACAAGGTAATTGGCATCTATTGCTAACAAACAATGAGGCTAATCTTGCCTATAAAGTGTGTAGTATGGGATGAGAATGTGCTTTTGCAGTTCATGATAGAATTCAGAGCATTTAGGCGTATGATATAAGCTCATTCTGTTTACAAGGCTGTGTCTTATAAACACAGTATACATGCGTGCGTTCTCAATGATTATATTGTGTGTGGACTGTCTGCTTACCATTCCGTTTGCTATCTGCCGTGCTACCTGGTAGATCTTCATGTCGTCGAAGTCATACATGCTGTCTTGAAGCCTCTCATTCAACTGTAGATTTACATGAAAAGAGTCAGCATGAACATAACTTGGCTTCATCATAAGGTATTGTAATGGTTAACATACCAAAAACACCAAAGGGACATTTAATTTTCAGACACGAACTTTTGGTAACTGCGAAATCGCAAATAATTGCTTGAGGGCTGCATAGCAAGCAAAAAAAAATGAAATACATTAAGTAAAATGGGCCAACAGTTTCTAGATCTATCGAGCCATACACACACGTTGAAATGTTGAAATGGGTGGCTGATAACTACAAATTTGGCAGATAACTTTACAAGTAGTTTTTTTTTAAACTTTAGTCACACATCATTATGATTATTCATCAAACAAAATAGAGACAGCAGTTTTTTGATAGTTTTACCATTACTGGCAGAATAAGAACACATTTAAAGATATCTACATTAAAGTTACGTATACATGTACCTTCCTGCACTTGAGTAGGAAGTTCTTAAGGTCTCCATACGGCATGTACTCCGTCACCAGGTAGGGAGGGTGGGACAGTGTGCAACATCCCACCAGACCGAGCAGGTTGATGTGGCCCCTCAGGGTGATGGTGGTGTCGACCTCTTGTATAAAATTCTGTATCTCCTCTTCCCTCGCGTTCTCTGCAAATTTAACAAAAACCTGTCATTGTTGAAGCTTCACCGGTGCAATTGCTCAGGGGGTAGAGTGCTTGTTTTGCTTTTGGGCCAGATCATATCAAAGATTAACTTTATCTGCTTAAGTGCTATGTGCCATGCTTTCAGCCATTATTCAATTCAATTCAATCCAATTCAATTCTTTATTAAGATATCAAACATAACAAACATGACATACAATGTTGCCTTAATGGCGTTGATATTTACAAGATAAAATATAAAAAAATATATATATTTACGGCAACTATAAAAACAGTACAGTAGGTGTACAACCCAGATATTTGCAAAGGTCCATTATCTTGTGCCAGACTCTATCTGTACAGTCCGGTTATAGAGTCTGATTGACTGGTGAATGAAAGAGTTCTATTAATATAATAGTCTTTTTGTTCTGGCGGGGGGATATAGATAATGTTTTTGTTTCTAAATGAACGACCGGTAGCTGTAGATGTGGAGAGAGGGACAAGGTCATGTAAGGGATGGTCTTCTCGTAGCATCTGTGTGAATAGTTTGACGGCAGCATCCTCGCGCCTTGACTTGAAGACGTGTGGCAAAATAAATCAATGAAGCTCCTGGCGTTAGTGAAGATAGAGTATCGTAATAACCAGCTGACGTTGACTTACCACGGACAGTTTTGGCCACCACTGTTTGTTCCGTGAGAAGACCATCAACAGCTCTCTTTAAAGTCGCAAGGAAGGCGATACCGAAGGCTCCTCTGCCGATCTGTTCATTCAGTCGCAGATCAGTCGGGTTTACCTCGTACTCCAGGAACTGTGGCCGAGCCGGCACAGGCGGGGGAGGTGGTTTACGCAAATCTGTTAATTTTGCATCTGGGAACAAAAGCAGTGAAACAACATTATGAGTGTCCCCAATAGGGCTCACAGTGTAATACAACAGTATACATCATCAATATACCCATTTTTCTGTCTTATTGAATACAATACAAAAATATGCATTTGTATCAATGAAATACAGAATTGGTGAAGTCAGTTAAGCTTTTAGCAACGCAACTTCTAATTAATTGATTTATACGTGCTTCCTGTTTCTAATACATACATGTAGCATGACTATTTACTCAATAGTTTTTGCGCATTGGTACCGAATAACAGAATGGAAAAACTGCAAGTATGTCATGATATCATATACCTAGAATATCTGGATGAAAGTCAAACTGTTTTAATTCATAGTCGTCACTTTTTCGCTTTCTGCCGCGCCGGTATCCCAGAATCCCCGCTACTACTCCCAGTACAAATAGTACCACAGATGGCACCACGGCAATCATCACCACGTGTAAGGTGGACAGTCCCGCTGTTTCAGCTGAATCAGTTACTGGAAATACTGTACATGGAAGTGAATATTCATGTGTTTAAAGTTAAAACATTTTGATCCAAAAATAAAGCAAAGACATATCCTCACCTAGAACTTTAGACGAGCCACTTAGGTCTTCCTCAGTAAAATGACCCAGTGAGATTTTTGCCACGTGGCTTTTCTTAAGTGTGACGTCAACACTGGGTCAAAGGAATCCTATAAACAAATCACACCTCAGAAAAGCCACGTGACAAAGTCTCACTTGGTTAGGCTATTTAAGACCAGAGTGAAGGGTCAAAAGCTCTAGGTGAGAGGATATCTTTGTGTTGGATCATATGTTTTGACTTTAAACATGAAACTAGTAGTAATTAGGAAAAGATACGCATTATTTCTATATTAGGGAGACACCACTTAGATACGTTGTAACAGTCTGTCAAAAATATTAGAACTATACTTCACTTTGGAAAAATCTGAAAACTTAACGAAACATAATCATGGGAAACAAAGAAACCACCGACGGGCGCATGTTGGCTGAGTGCCACAATATTAAAAGCTATCACCTACTGGAGCAAATGGGCTGCACGCCGGACCAGCTCTGGTTACCTCCATGAAAAATGGAGGTATTGTTTTTGGCGTGTCTGTCTGTATGTATGTATGTGTGTGTGTGTCTGTGTGTCTGTCTGTCTGTGTTTCCGCAACTTTGTGGTCAGCATAACTTCAGAACGCCTTTATGGATTATGATAATATTCTGTATGTTGGTTAGTCTTAGGAAGACAAACGTCAAGGTCGAATATGGGCCTCCTGGTGGATGACCTTGGTACTGCAGCAGAACTTTCGGTTTTGTATCTTTTGTCCTGAACATGCTATGGTCTTGATGTTTTGGTGACAGATTGGTTTTCCTGTCAGGAATAAGTAGTGTGAGTTTGGTCCCCCTAGCAGCTTGTTTTGGAACTGCAGGGCACTTTCTGGCGAAATGTTTAAAAGCCAAAAAGTCCAGATAGGAACAACATATTTTCATAATTTTTGGTGTGTACGTAGCTAAGAGAGAGATGTACATGATTAAATGCAAATTATGCAAATGAGGACTTTATTTGCATATTCAATGAGGAAATTCTATGATTACAGTGTTTTACATTATACTACTTTCATACATGTAATGTATGTAACCTATGGCAGGCAGATCATCAACAGATACTAATTATGCAAATGATGACCTAATTTGCATAATTTATGCAAAAAGTCTATGATTTTTATGTGATAATGGAATGTCATACTTTGG